ATTCCCTGTCATATGCTCTTATCCAGTTCATCCATCTTAACTGTTGTGTGCATGTTTTTCTCCACATGCATTAGGGGCTTTGGGTGCTCAGGTGAAGGACACAGCTCCATCAGTGTGTGTTATCCAGGCTAACACTGCCACACATAAACTGGGACGAGAGGATCATCGATATTGACAAACACACACAGCTGTCAGCGATGAAGTGGAACACAAGATGTGTTCATGCCAGATTTTCATGCACATCAGCTGCCCCCAAAGCTCTACAGGTTGTTTCAGCTTACCACTATATGTAAATATACATACATACTATATACATATGCCATTTTAGAAAATCTTCTAAGGGCAAGTTAGCTTTTGAATATTCAGTCTGGGCCAATACAGAGCTCTGAACTGTTTATCTGTTTTGATCTAGTATCATTTTGTGTCATGTTTATTTTATTCATTTCATTATTTCTCCTATTGTGTTTTATTTTCCTCAGCTTAATCCAATTGGTCAAACTTCCTGATAGATAATACAGAAATTGCATTAGCATTTGTTTGTTTAAACACAGACTAAAAAGAATAATAGGCGTGTAGAGCAACAAGGTCTTTAACAGCCTTTGGATTACCTTGTGCACTGTATGGGTATAATGTTTTTCTATTTGAGCTGCTGTAGTAATTGTGTCCATTATCCACTCAAATCTGCAGGCAAGCACATTTATTCTGCATTATAAGAAAAATTATGCAAATCTAAAAATAATTATAGCAATGTTAGAGAAAATCTAATTCACCAAATCTTTGCCAGCACAATCAAATGGCCATTACCACGTACTGTACTCGAGGGATGAGGATTAAGTTGTTCCTGGGTGTCAGTGGGGATGTGGCCGACCTCCAAGTGACAGTAACTTGGCTACTTGATTAGATATAACAGCTGACAAGCAGCTAAATCATCTTCATCCAGTGCTTCTGGAACAACAAGGCATCACCAGGTTTCCACTGTCCTTGGTCTGACTAAAAACTGACTCTGGAGCTGTTTTTTTCTAATGGTATAAACCTGTGTGCTGTATCTATCCCCTGCCATAAAAACATCTGAGCTGCCCTATAAATTCTGGCATGATTTAAACTGCTCCTGACAACCCAGTGAATCCACCGAGTGCGTACTCTATAGTCTTACGCAGACTGGTGATGAGGATGTTGAGGGGAGTAAGAATTCTCTGAGCTCCATGGACCGGGCGAGACATAAAACACAGGATGGTCGCTGAGTCATTGTTAACACGTTTAGATTGCTGTTGTCACAGGGGTCAGGCTCAGTGGTCTGGTTGAGGGTTGTCACATATTTAAGCATCTTACTCTGATTCTCCTCATTGCAGCAACTATCTCCATTCGACTGCCAGGGCGTCCCACCTCCAAACTGCCAATGTACTGCAAAGTATAAGAGAAAGATTAAAGATGGGCAGTTTGAGGGAATGAATGCTCCTGGTTACTCGGCAACTTTTCCATACACTTTTGGAAACATTCCCTTTGATAAAGAGATCAATAACACATATATTAGGGCAAATATTAAAACTTTATTTGACAAAAATACCCCAAACTCTCATAAGATGTTCTGTGTTTATAATCTTTAAGAGAAATAAATTGTCTGCATTTGTCAAGCTATTTGGTTAAAACTATCCAAACATGTCACAACATGTTTCATTGTCAATTCATGTGCTAATTATTCTCCCCATTTATCAATCAGCCATTTAAAATTGTGTGAAAATTGCCATCACAATTTGTAGGAGAGGAAATTCACACATTCATTTCAGTCTTGTTTATTCTACCAGTTGGTCAAAATCCCAAAGAAATGCTGTTTCCCTACTACAGAGCAGACAAGCAGCAAATCTTACATTCCAAATCCTGAAACCTTGAACGTGTGGATTTTTGCAGAAAAACTGACTGATTCATTATAATAGCAGCCGAATGTCTTGTCTATGAACTAATCAATCGACTAAATGTTTGAGCTCCAAAGATGATTAAATTACAAACATTTCAGAGTCATGTTAAGTATTATAATGTCAGTAAACACCAGCATCACAACATCACATACAGTGATACAGACAGAGGTTATGAAAATACAGTACATGTAGTAGTTATCTTATTTTAATACATTATATGAATGGTCCTCGTTTTCATGTTTTGACACATGATGATCCACTGTTCCTTCAGAAAGTACAGTGTCTGTTCTGGAGTGTCCTTACCTTTGCCTCGAAGCACACACCATGTTTAAACACCTCCTCGTTGTGCATGGGGATCCTCAAATCGTGCGCATCATCCACTAAATTGTATTTGGTTACCCCTGGCATTGCCCAAATGATAGCGGACTGACTGCCGACTCTTGTTTTACGACAGCGCTAGAGACCTGCAGATATGCGCATCTCCTCCGGCGCTGCTCCCCACGCACTCTGGCCGGAGATACGCGTCACTCCGGAGGTCATCCGGTTTGAGATGCACACACGGAGTGATTGGCCAGTGGGTTGGTTAAAGCGCTGGTCGCTGTGCTCAGTTAGTGATTCCTTTACTCCGGTTTGAGGCACGGTGGAGAAACAGTAGATGCTGCCATCGCCGCTGGAGTCCCGATGACGCACGGATCAACACGGTTGTTTTTACCTCTTCGCACCGCGGTATCAATCTAGGACGTGATTCATCAAAGTGAGAGATCAGTATTCAGAAGCAATGGCGCATATTAGCCATTGAACTGGGTAAGAGAGCAAACAGATGAAGACGGACTCTGCGTGGAGCATATAGACTCAGCTGGTTGTCTGACATCTAGTGGCGTCACAGGGAACAAACAGGTCCTCACATCATTATCTCCCACTGGATTCCAGGAGCCCCCAGGTGTCCTTGAAGGGCACATGTATAAGAGGGTTAATATTGGCAAGTAGCTTAATTTCAAAGAAACTCCTGAACCTACAGTGGAGTTGGACAGCAACAACAGTGTTTCTCTGACAGAATGAATGAAGGAAGCATCAGCGGTTCTGCACTTAGCTGAAACAGAAACACACACTTTAACCTGATGGACACTTCACCACAGTTATAGCCACATGCTGTGGTGTTAGTGTATTCTGCTGTAAGTGCTCACACTCTGTGACCCTTCCTCTCCTGGTTGTCACACCTAGCTCCATCTTAAAGGGTAAAATCATCAAGAAGCAGAGATGGAACATATGATATGAAAACAGCCCTAAGATGATTTTGGAATATAGGTGTATAGGATATACATTGCTGAATGGACATAGATTTGAGGGAAGGATGATCTTTAGCCCGTTAGTTTTATCTGCAGTTTTAGAAAGATACAGTTTAGATACATCTTTAGCGAAGCATACTCGGTGTTGTCCCTGGCTCATCAAAGGAAATGCACCTCTTTCTTTTTCTCTTTAGTCCATGAGCTTTAGAAAGCATTGGGATAACAAATTAACCTGACATGTTTCCAATTTTAACTAGTGTTTGTCCTGCAGATATGAATATAAACCTGCACACGGGGCAGCAGAAACTAGCTGTAAACACAACACTGATGTCACATTTTCAACTAATGACTTCAGCTTTAAAACAAAAGTTGAAGTGCAGTAGAGTAGATGAATGGCATTTGTAACTGCCATGATGTAATTTAGAGTGCCTATCACTTGTATTTGTATTATAAATGTACTTAATGACCATGTGAAAACAAAATGAATCAGTCACAGCATGGTCTAAAAACAGTTAAATAATGATCTGAAACTGAATATTCAGATGATAATACTGTCTCTTCATCACTCCAAGCAACCCCTTTGTTACTGTCATTTTAACATAAAGCATTCACTTTGTACACTTAATTTTATTTCAGTTTCTTTGTTGACTTATAGGACAAATACAGTAGGTAACTGTCATTAACTTGTGTAGCCCACTGCCCCAGAAATGTTCAGCCACAGATAATAGATCTTCAATCATGTTTTCTGTCCAACAGGTGGCAGCAGAGCTCTTTGCATCTCACAGGACGTAAAGCTCTTAATAGCAAAAATAAAACAAGCTGAAAAGACAAACAATAGCTTTGTGTATCAGGTGTAGTTCTATTATCCATGTTTTTTATGTTTTTGTGCAGCTTGTCATCTCTTGACCTGCGACAGGAACTCTGAGTGATTGTTGTACTCTCCTGTCTCACTATAAGGCACAAAGGGACTCTATTAAGGTCCAAATGACCCAAGTGCTCTGCTGCATCACAAAATCTCCACCCTCTCTGTGTGTTTTTTGGGATACAAGTGTCTTGCTTCTGTGTTTTTCGGCACAAAGTGTTCTTGAACAGAACAGAATTACTGCATCACATGCTAGAGGAGGCAGAGAGGAGGTAAATGGTCTTATTTCAAGCAGTTGATGTCTTGCTTGTCACTATCAGTTCATTCAGCCTGAGTGGCTGTTTTCTACACCTGCTGTCTTGTCTGAGCTGCTACAATGTCTTGTGACATGGCTGTCATATGTTTACAGTTCACTGGGGTCACTTGTGATGCTGTACTACCACAGAAAACAACCAAAGCTTCTTGAGAATGCATGTATAAGATGGTGAAGTTATTTGAACACTGAGCATGAGGTAAATCACCCATCAACTGTTTATTTGGTTGTGAGTCTGCAGTGAGTATTAAGGGTTACCTCTCTTATCTGCCTTGCAACTTGAGGCTGGACAGACTGCATCAGAGCAATGCAAGGAGCTACTCTAGTGTCTCCATTTTTGGAGTTCTTTTTGGAGTGTGTCAGATTTGGCTTTTCCCCCTCTGTTGTTTGTATTGTTCAAATGCAAACAATAGAAATAAAAATGAGAATTCAAAAGAATTTGTGATTGCACCAATTTGGTGTATCTGACAGAAATGCAGGGGTGTAAATAATTTTGGCCTTGATATTTTGACCAGTGGTTCGAGATTAAAAGAAGACACAAGATGCTACGTAAAGCCTGTGAAAACAAAGAACTTGCAAAAAAATATGATAAAAAAAATCTACTTAATTAGAGAAATCATCTTAAATCAGCAACTTAAGGAAAAGACAAGAAGATGAATTATTCAAAACACTAAAAAAGTGAACACTAGTTTATCAAATACATTAAAAGAAGGATACAGTTTTAAAATCCAGGGTCTTTACTGGGCAAAGGGCATCACACACATACTTAACAAAATGATCAGCTGTGCCTTGAGATCGTCCCAGCAAAGACTGCCCAACCTAAACATAGGGGGGAATCTAACAAGCTGCACTTGAAACTAATTGAAAACAATCAGGGGTTTATGGTTGACCTGCAGCTTTGCAGCACCATCTTAGTTTAATGTGTTAGTAAGCTAAGATTTGCAAATGAGAATGCTAATAAAAATGAAGACCAAGACAAATTCAGGGCAGCGCGGTGGTGCAGTGGTTAGCGCTGTTGCCTCACAGCAAGTGGGTTCTGGGTTTGAGCCCCGGCCAACCTAGGGCCTTTCTGTGCGGAGTTTTCTCCCCGTGCTTGCGTAGGTTTTCTCCGGGTGCTCCGGCTTCCAAAGACCTACGGCTTAGGTTGATTGGTGTCTCTAAATTGCCTGCAGGAGTGTGTGTGTGTGAGTGGTTGTTTGTTTGTCTGTGTGTTGACCCTGCGATGGGCTGGCGACCTGTCCAGGGTGTACCCTGCCTTTTGCCTGCAGCTGGCTGGGATTGGCTCTGTGACCCCATTTGGGACTAAGCGGTTTAGAAAATGGGTGGATGGATGGAAGTGCTTATTCATCTTTACTGACTACTCTTTTGGCTCATCACTACTATTTTCAGAATTCTTCACAGTGAACTTTCTCCTGAGACACTAAATATTATGACCACACCACTGTCTGCTGGATGGGAGAGAATTCGGTCCTTATAATAAAAGTGTGTTGGTGCCTGGGGAGTCTGGAGACAGGCAGCGGGTGAGGGTATGCAACATATACAGTGCAGAGACTGGAACAATGTGCGCAGAGTAACATTTTAATACAGAAGTGAGTGTGTGGAGCCATTTGACATTTTGGGACATATGCTTATTTACTTTCTTGCTAGAGTTGGATGAGAAGTTCACTGACACGTTCATGTACACTAGATATGTAGAAGAAGTAGACATTTGGCTTCTGTCATTCCTCATTTAACATAACACAAGAAAGTTTCATGAAACCTGAGCAGCAGAAATTTTTCAAATAAATTAATAAGACTGAACATCTTGTTGGGTCACAACAAGACTTTCCACTAGACTGAAAAACTTTCTTTCCGACTGCCATCAGACTCCTAAACAGCTGATAATAAAATATATATAAATAAAATATTTTTATTTGCTTCCTCCACTTGCTGCTTTAAATTTCCTTAGATTTGTGATTTTACTGCCTATTTAGATTTGTGTTATTGCTCATCTACTTTATATTTCACTTGTATTATGTGGCATTCATGTGGATGGCAAAGTAAGAATTTCATTGTACAGGGAAACACGTTTTCTAACTGTGCATATGACAAATAGACACTTTGAACCTTGAACAGTGAAGAGCACAATGAGCAAGGCTCTTAGAATCAGACACTGCACTTCCCATGTGCATATTTTTAAATGTGTGTCTGCTACCCAAAATCCCACCGCACTTGTTGAGAAAGAAGGAAGTGTCCTGCACAAGCCTAAGCCATAGACATGTAAAGATGGACATTGTGACAGCTCCCGGAAATGAAACTGCTGCGAGTCGGTCGCCGCCTGGTGGCTGTTTGCGGTATAGGTCATAAATCCCACCTTCTTCATGTTAGTGGATGGGACGTGAGGCAAACTAACAACTCAAAGGACAAATGAAATAAAATGTTCCCTGAGGTGATTTCTGTCATTTTGGGTAGATATTATCACAGAGATTTCACTACAAATGCTCATTTTTCTGGAAAGTTTGTTTTTAATATTTGATTATATAAAAAGGGGAGGGCTGATTTGACCAGTGGTGGAAAGTAACTAAGTAAATTTACTCAAGTACTGTACTTAAGCACAATTTTGATGTATCTGTACTTTACTTCAGTATTTTCATTTTCTATTACTTCATACTGTGACTTCACTACAGTTTAGAAGTGAATATTATACTTTTTACTCCATTACATTTATTTTATAAATTTAGTTACTTTTCATAACTAGATTATTAAAAATATTGTATAATTTTAAGACTTCATTGATCTATGGTGGAAACTTCACAAGCTACCCAGCAGTAATTCAAATTATGTGTCATCCAATTTTATATACAGTCTATGGCCTAAGCACACAGACATCCATACCATATACTCCTCCTTTCATACCTTTGGTCAGTTTAAAACATCCACTCTGTCTGGTTTGATTTAAACGTTTTTGGACTGTACATAAACCAAACTCCGCTGAGAAAAGTCAAAAACTGTACCTTCCCTGGCATCACTGAGGTGAGTAATCATTATTTACTGTATATTACCTGATCCCCTGTTGGATTCAAATGGCATCTTGTAATGATATAATGCAGACCAGATGCTGAAATAACAAATCCTGTGAGTTAGACTCTCATATCTCACACCAGTGTTTTAAGATCACCTATCACACATAATAATAACGCTGAGTGTTGTTAACAGGCTATTTTCAACAAGAGGACACACTGGATTTTATTTATAGTAGCCTATGTCTTTATTTTGCCACCAAAATGAAAATGAGTTTAAGCTCTTGTAGTTTAATTGAGTATTTTGGAGTGATCGTTGGGTTGTGGCGACGAGCTGTGCTGGGTTTGTTCCCTTGGTAACTGGTGGTAACTATGGCTGTAGCGCTTTCTTTTTTACACCACTCTACAAGCA